ATGTTAAGCTAGTGAGATACAAATATGTATTTATACGAAAATGAAATAAGAAAGATGAAATTATAAGATATAAAACAAAACTTTTAACACAAAAATTTTTGTAAAGAATTGACATTGACTACGAGGAGACATATTCTCCTATAGTGGATGCAATTGTCTTTTGTTATCTCATTAGCTTGGAAAAATATATGAAAAACATTCATATGCATGCATTTAAGGAATGTGATCACAGCTTTATTTGTTCATTTGAAATGATATCGGTATGAAAGTCCTAGAAGGACTTAACATGCTGAAGCATGTAATACATATTCTCGAGAAAAGAATTCAATTAGATTATAGAGATCTCTATTAGGATTATTTTAGTATTTGTTTTATTATTTTGGTTTTTAGAAATTCAATTTATACCTTTTATATTTTATTTTTATATCTACTATTTATTACTAACTCCGTGTGCATGTGATATAATCACTTCCATGATTATTTCTTGAAAGAAATTTATAGAAAATAACCCTATTTGTTTATATTTTTTTATTTAAAAAGGGATTTATTTTATATGTTGATAGCTTAAATATTATTGAAACTCCCGAAGAGATTTTAAGTGTCATAAGTTACCTAAAAAGAGAATTTGATGTGAATATCTTGGAAAAACAAAATGTTATCTCGACCGCAGCTTCGAGCACTCGGAAAATGAGATTTTCATTCATTAGTCAATTTATATCGAAAAAGGTTCTACTATGATTTTATATAAAGATCATTCATTGACTAGCCCAATGGTAGTTCATTCACTTGATATCCAAAAAGACCTTTTTTGACCTCGAGAAGATAACGAAGAACTACTTGGTCCCGAAGTACCATATTTTAGTGCCACTGGTGCATTGATGTATCTTGCTAATAATAATCGACTCGATATAGTCTTTTCTATAAATTTGTTAGCAAGTCATAGTTCCGTTTTAATATAGAGACATTGAAATAAAGTTACATATATACTATGTTATCTTCGAGGAATAATTGATATAGGCTTATATTACTCCAATAAATCAAAGACATGATTAATTTTTTATATAGATGCGAGTTATTTATCCGATCTACATGAAGCTCGATCATAACTAGTTATATATTTACATATGAAGATCCAGCTATATCTTTGTGTTCTATAAAGTAAACTATAGTTGCCACATCTTCAAATCATGCGGAAATATCAATTCACAAGGCAAGTCGAGAATGTGTTCGGCTAAGATCAACGATCCATCATATCCGAGAGACTTGCGGTTTATCTATCGAGAAAAGAAGTTCTAACAATATCATATAAGGATAATGTTGTTTTCATAGTTTCATTGAAGGAAGAATACATTAAAGTGACAATCTAGCAGATTTGTTCACTAAGGTGTTACCTATCATAACTTTTGAGAAGATGATTCACAAGATTGGAATACATCATCTTAGAGATCTTAAATAATATCTTCAACAGGGGAGACAAAAATGAGGATTAATGCGTGCAAGGAATATTGTACTCTTTTTCCTTCACTAGGATTTTTTTCCCACTCGGGTTTTTTCCTAGTAAGGTTTTAACGAGGCATGTTCCTTGTATAATGGACATTCGAGGGGAGTGTTATGAAATAATGATAATGAATGTCCATCATCATGTTCATCCACTTTTCATAACCCCACTACTCATGATTCTTAATATGATTCAATTCATCATTCAATATGAGAAATTGAAAGGGTGATGCAATTGATTATTCATAGTCCTTTTCAATTCTCTCCTTAATTTTGAAGCCTATAAATAGGCTTGATTGTTCATTAGTTGATGTACAAGTTTCTTAGAAAGAATAAGAGGAACTTTGAAGTTCTTATCACTTATATTCATATTATAGTGATTTCATTTTTTTGTCATCCTTTTCTTCAATTCTCCTATTATTTCTATTTATTTTATAACAAAACAAACATATTTGCCATCTTATTCGATTCGGTCTCTTAACTTCCAACCTTACGTAAAAGGAAACTGTGGATTGCGATTGGGTCCAAATACAAAGTTATGGAAAGAGAATATGAGGATAGAACCGAACAGATTGCCGGATATGAGTCCAAATACATAGTAGTTAAAATTCCAATGGTCAAAAGAAAGTCAACTGGATTTATTTCAAAAATTTTAAATTAATATATTATTTGTTAAAAAAAATTGGCAACCAATAGATACTTGTAGTATCGTTTTTCTTGTTATTTTGTTTTAAAGATATTTAATAATGCTTCCGTATAGTTAAAAAAAAAATCAAATTAGTGTAAATTTATATTTTTAACTACTATGCAAACACCAAAAGTAAACCTAGATTGAGAATAACAATGGAATAAAACTAAAGTAATCAAAATAATAATTTTTTATTTATTTTCTAATGAAACTTATGTAAATTATTACATTAGAGACATTATATATATATATATATATATATATATATATATATATATATATATATATATATATATATATATATATAACTAAAAGATTTAGTTTGTTTACCATTTATTATATTGTTCAAACACTCTCGGAATATTATTTATTTACTTGTTCGACTATACTCGTGAATACTATACGAGTTGTATTTTTTTTTTTAATTTTTAGATTGGATTAGGCATTTATATCTAAGGTTTTTTTAAAAAAAATATTGCACTCTTCTTCTTGGTATTTTCAAAATTTTTATCTTGGTTTTTAAGTTTATTTATGTCTCAAATTGGTTCCTAAATTATTAAAAAAACACTAAAAGATTTGGACTATTTACTCTTTTTTTAATTGATTTTTTTAACACACATACCTAAATCTCCGAGCGTAAGTAGTCTATTATTCAAGTATACTATTCACATACTCACAAACTATTATTTATTTATTATTCACTTAGACTCATATGCACTATGTAGTGATATTTTTGTATTTTTAGGTTGTATTGAGATAATTATATCCGAGTTTTTCTTGATATTATACTTTGGCCCTTGATATTTTTTAAAATTTTATTTTTATCTTCAAGTTTATTTATGTCGCAATTTGGTTCCTAAGTGTAGAGAAAAGAGAGAGAAAGTCATGATCGGCTTTAATTTCGATCCATTTTGTGATCGATCTTACATTCATATTTTTTTATTTTGGTGAAAAGAGTGTGCGCATGGAGGTTTTAAACTATAAAATAATTAAAAGAGGTGGATTGAAATCTAAAAAAATAAAATTTATTGTTTTGATATATATGTGTGTGTGTATGCGTGCGCGAGAGCCCTCGCACGTGCATTGAACTCGCTTTTTTAATTTTTTAAAAATTTTTGCTTTTGTCTTTTACCAAAATTTTTTAATTTTTTTTATTATTCAATTAGATGCAAAAATTATAGAAATTTAACCATTATTTTTTTTATTTTCCACACAAGTTGACGATAATAAAATATATATGATATATTTTTAGAATTTAGAATATATATATCAAATCATATTATTCTTATAGTTTAAAATTGATTTTTTTAATTTCTTTTTCCTATGGAAATTCTCATAAAATTAATTTTTTATTTTTTATATAATTTTTCTTGTTAATAAGTATAATGTTTTCTCTATGTATGAATTTTTTAATAAAATTTTAGAAAATAATTATTTTATCTTTTTGAATGAACATGTATATTGGATTATATTACTCTTATTATTTGAAATTAATTTTTTATTTGTCTTTTCTTATAGAAATTCTCATGAAATTAATTATATATTTTTTTTAAATAAATTTTTTTTTAATGAATATGATTTATTTTTCTCTATGTATGGATTTTTGAATAAAATTTTAGAATATCATTTTTTTTTCATATATTGATATAATTCCTATGATGGATTCTTATGATTTTTAAATGAAAGTATTAAAAAGCTAAAAGTATATTTTATATAATTTATCTCAAACCGTCTAAAATAAATCAATTAAAAAATTAAATTCACGTGTTTTATTTTCTTATTCTTTATATAATTAAAGTTTATTAAAATTAATTTTTTATTTTTTATTTCAATCTATTAGTAATTAACTATGCATACACACACACCAACAATTTGTTAATTTTTTTAACATCCTAAAATCAATTTCTTTAAAACAAAATAATTGAAATAATGTTTTAGGAGAACTATTACAACTTTTTATACTGATACTATTGATTAATTTGTGAATAAATATATACAAATCAAATGTACATATTTTTTTTAAAAAAATCTTATTAGAATTAAATAAGAATTGAAAAAAATATTCATTTGTTAATTTTTATAAAAGTTTTTATATTAATAATTGCTTTATTTTTTTGATGCAATCTTAATTTTTTATATTAATAAATATTAAGGAATTTTTTTAAAAAAAATTAGATAAATATTCTATTTAGATTATTGCAAGTTCTTATTTAAAAGTTAACACGTAAAAAATAGCAAATCATTTTTTAACTACAAAATTTTTGAAAAACATAAGGAATAATAAATTATAAAATTAAATGATTTTATCTTTAATTCAATATATTTTAGTAAATCTATAATATAATATAGACTATCAAATCAAAATTATTTTTTTTAATGATTTAACATGTTCTGCTGGATCCATAATATAGCATGGATAACAAACTAGTAACATACTATTATTGTATGGACATTAATCTGTTCAACTTTAAGACTCCAAGCTTACATACGCCCTTTGGTGCTTGTGCTTTACACCTATAAAAGTAATAATTTATATCTTTTTTATTTTTATAGTTAAGGTTTGGTTATAGGATAAATAAGTTTTTTTTTTTTTTTTAAAAGATTTTTAAGGTATCTCAAGTCTAAAGATCCAGACTAATCCTTCCTTATTTTATCGAGTACATAAAGCAGATACAACTATTAAAAAAATTTCTTTTATACACAAGATTTAAACTCAAAAACACCTATTTAAACAATTAAAACTCCCTGCCTTCAACCCAGCTCTCTTGAATAAATTAATTGTTTTTTCAATATACAAATGGCATACCTATATTAATTACCACATTAATGTGTCCTTTGTAACTGGTGTATCTGGGATGTCATCCATGTCTCTGTCTTCTTTTTCCTCCACCAGCGGATGAAGGATGGCATTTGGATTGAAGTGCTGAATCACCAAAACTGACGCTGTATTGGAGAAGTTGGAAGATGCTAAAAAGCTTCCAACAGGACCTAGTTCTGGAGTGTCGGTTGAGGGCAGCGAATTAGGAGCTATTGGTGGCATTCTTCCTACCAAGAAGAGATTGTTTTTGCTCATTGATTTTAATGCTGCAACAATGTCTGCCTTACTCTCTACCACTCTTTCTACATGTCTCACTGAATCTTGCAGGTTTTTTGCAGCATGCTGGATGAGTTCGGAGAAGAAGAGCTCGCAATCAGCCTCTTTGTCAGAATTGTTATCATTCCCAACCTTGATCACACTAGTATCTTGACCATGTAAGGTCAATAGTGTCTTCCCTGATGGGGCCACGAACTTAAGGACAGTAACCATGATTCCAGGGTGCTCCGCCATTCTCATCCCATAGGCAAGAGCTTCCACGTCGTCATGTCCTCCAAAGAAAGGGACTACAATATTGTAGGATACATCACTGGCCAAGACTTGGGTGGTGCCTCCAAAACCACGATCAACGAGAATACCAACAGAACATGGAGAATGACGGAGGACGCGTTGGTTCACCTCACGCAGCGAGTGTCCCAAAGACTCCAAGCTTCCATCCACCCTTTGGTGCTTATGGAATGGGAGGAGAATCATGGCAGCACGCTTTTGGTGTGCACTGGTGCAAATGTCCTCATGAATAGTGTTGAGAGCGGAGATGGCAGTCATGGGACGGATGGTGACACTACTGAGTTGTTGATAGGCTTCAAAAGCAATCACCATTTGATCTTTATCCTCAGGTTTCTTGTTCCAAAAAGGAAGTCCATTTTTACGGGCTTTATGAACCATTGAGATGGCAGATGATCGCTCTGAAAGTTCCATGAGGTGCATTGCATACACGCAGAGGCGTCCTCGCTTTCGTGTTCCTCGGGAGCACTCCACAAGATTGATCATAGTAGGAATATTACGGCTGCTATGAAAGCAGACCAATAGTCGAAGCTCTGTGTCAAGATCCTTGCGCTTGACAGTACGGTTCTTGTAAGGTGCTCCCCTTCTGGCAGGCTTATAAACGGCCATCACGATTGGCGTAGTGATGAAGGTTGTGACCAACGCCATTAAAACTAAAACTGCAAAAGTCTGATCGTTGAGCACCTGCAAAAGTTATAAGCGCTACGAATTGTAAGTGCTACTCACTATAGCTAGCTACTTAAGCATTGAACATGAGTAGACTTACCTTGCGGTCCTTGCCAATATTTAGAACAATGAGCTCCACTAGGCCTTTGGTGTTCATTAGGAATCCAAGAGCCGCAGCTTCTCTCTTGGGCACCTTAAACATCAGTGACACGATCATCGTCCCAATAATCTTCCCCAAACAAGCCGTAGCTATTACGAGGACAAGCAAGCCCCACGATTGTGCTCCACTCATGGTTGCAACGTTGGTTTTGAGCCCACTGGATGCAAAATAGAGTGGCAACAAGAGCCCAGCCACAAGATCCTCTATCTTCTCTATAAGAACCCCAGGAAAAGGACCATCCTTGGGTATTAAAATTCCCACCACAAAAGCTCCAAAAAGTGCATGTATGCCGATGACGTCGGTGACGAAAGCGGAAGCCAACACAAGTGACAAAGTGATGCAAATGTAGATCTCCTTCACAGGCTCACCCTCAGGGGAACGCCGAGCCATCAGATCCAGTAATGGTCTCGTGACATAAATGGAAAACACCACAAACCCCACGCCACAAAGTAGGACCCATACGGAGGTAAGCGGAGAAGTGTTGCCGCCTGAGAGAGCTATAGCAAGAGCAAGGAGAATCCAGGCAGCAACGTCATTGACTGCAGCTGCAGACATTGCTATGCGGCCCACATCGGTGGTGAGAAGTTTGAGTTCCGCCAAAATACGAGCCAGGACTGGGAAAGCGGTGATGGAGAGAGAGACGCCCATGAAGACAAGGAAAGGGGCGTTATCAACTCCTTTGGATATGGTGGAACGAAGAACAACTGAGGTGCCAATACCGAGAAGGAAAGGGAGGGTGATGCCTGCAGCGGCTATTACCAAGGACTTCTTTCCAGTGCGACGAATGGCCCGAATGTCAAGCTCTAAACCCACCAAAAACAAGAAGAAAAGGAGACCGATGTTGGCGACGGTGTCTAGGACAGTCATGCTTTTTGCTGGGAACACCGTGTGAAGAAATTTCTCACTTCTTCCTAATGCAGATGGTCCAAGCAGTATTCCTCCCTGCCAGACAATGTTGAATGTAATTAACATACGTGTATGCACTACTTAAAAGAAAACCATGTTTTATACATGAAATTATTAATTATGTAATTCGATCATACATCGTTTAATCATCATCCATGCTAATTTTATTCAATTCACCCATAAATAGATAAAATTAAGCTTTTTCTACAATCTCGAACTGAAAATTTCAGAATTGATCCATAATTGTCTATAAATCATTAGATTAGATTAAAGTTATTAGGTTATAAAGTATTCTAAACTTTTGGGATTAATAGAAAAAAAATAATCTCTAATATTTTTTATTTTGATTTGAATCCCAAACTTTTTTATTATTATTAGATGAACCCGAGAGACGTGTGAGCAATTAAAATAACAATTCATGTCTTGAAAGAGACATTTTCAAACAAGAAATTTTACGTTATTGTAGAAGTAATTATCAATGCTTATTCCATAAAAAAGAGATAAACAAACTAATAATAATAATAATAACCTGAATTGAAATATTTTTATAATTTTTTGTCAATCCAAATGTGATTCGTTTTTTTATCTCTTTCTAAAAATAGATTCATTAAGTAACTATTGTAAATATACGATAGTTACTCCTAAGGTATGTTAAAATTTCTCCACTTTCATACAATAGAATTCATTAAAACAACAAAATGTTTTATCAATGAAATGAAAAAATTTAATTACAGATAAAAATAAATTTGAGATTCATATTAAAATAAAAAAATTTAGAAATATTTTCCATATTGACTAGATGTTCAGAATACAATATAACCGGTTACATTTAAATTAATATTATTAGCAACCACTGAACTAATAACAATAGAGTTTTTGTTTCTCTTTTTCAAAGAACGGTCAAATGAGAACCCGTTATAACATGTCTTTGTTTTTCAAAGATTTGAGGATTGGACCGGAATTTCCTAATTCGACATGCATCTATATATATATATATATATATATATATATATATATATATATATATGAGATTCGGATATGCATGCATGGGTCTTATAAAAGAGAAGACATCAATGATGATGATATACATTGAAGAGCATGAATGCATAAACTTACAACAATCTCAGCAATGACTCTGGGTTGCCTGAGGGGTTTGAGAAAAAATGCAAGGGTTCTGGTAAAAGCGACGACCAAACATATCTGAAGGATCAACAAGGGAAGCGCAAAATCTAAGGGATTCTCATGCTGAAATGCTCCATTGGATGTTGCCTTCATGGGCTTTGGCAATAATGCAGCTGTTACGTTACTTGTGTTGGTCGCCATATTCTCACACCAACCCTAGACCTATATATCTTACATATATCTCATGAGCAAGAGAACCCTGCAGCAGGTTAATTACCAGAGAGAAAAGGAAAAATTGAGGTTCTCAAAAAGCATAATAGTATTTATTGTTAATGCATTTGAATTGAAGGGTAGCTGTTGGGAAGAATATGCTTGTGCTACGCCCGCATTTTGTGCTAGGGAAGCTATGCCGATCTGTCTCCTTCTTCATAGTAATTACACCTTAATTAAGCAAATGCTTTTGATCATTTAGCTATTTATAAACTGTTAACTATAATAATAATAACAATAATAATTCTCAAGGCGACAGCCTAAGGCAGTTAAACTTCGGGATATCTATTTGGGGACATAAGTTCAAATCCTGAAGAAAATGATGGCTACGGGAGGGGGAGGGCTGCCTAGCTTTCCTTCATGTATAACCCAATTGTTTTTGGACGAACGAAGCTTTCTACTGCTTTATTTGAAAAAAGACTTTGGAAAAGCTTGTATAATGATATTATAGTTGTGTGTACTTGTACAATGAAAATATGTTTTTTTCATATATTTTTGGTTCAAACTGCCAACCCCCTCCCAAACTATCCCTATCCCATGCCACTAGCTAGATCAAGAAGTTCATATACAGGCCAGCCTTGGCAATGTAGAAATTTGTACTTTTATTTATTTATTTATCTATTTTTCCTTTGGAGATAAACGGGGCCTAAGCCCAGGAACTTGCATTGTTGAGTTCCAATCCTTCCATCACAAAACAAATGGTATTTAATTAGGTCAATATAAAACTATAAATAATATGAAGAAAAAACTTGACGAAGCTTCAAATGGAGCTTCTAAAAATAAACAGTTGGTTTTTTGAATTTTTGACATGAAATTTATGCCATCCCACATCCAATTTTTGTTTTACCAACAAGATTGATGGGCTTTACAGATTTTTTTTTTTTTAAAAAAAAAGCCTCAACCTAAGAGAGATACTAAGTTGTTCAATCTAGAAAGTTAAAAATCAGTTGGTGGGTGGGTCATGAGTCCGGCGATCCCAATGCCAAAACTTGTCTTTCGACAGTTAAAGACAAGGATGACAATACTTCCGTATCAAAACAAGGAGCCATCCTAAAAAGCATCGCCAATCCTTAATTTAATTTCGCAGACAGGATATATATGTTTTTTCGGCTGGCAATATTAATTAAAATTATAGCATGCTTTTAAATAAAGCTATCATTGTAGCTTTTATCCGTCAAGAAAAGAGAAAAAATACAGCAGATCAGAATGTGTTCAAATCAACTATAACAGTTTAAGCAAGCAACAATATGCTTGCCCCATCTCAGGTGGGTTATTATGTGGTTTTTCTCCTTGTATTCAGCTTCTCCAGCTTGGTTCTTTCAGACAACGTGCAAGCAAGCATCAAGAACAGATGAGGCAATGGGAAAATTTTGAGCATGCATTGTTAATCGAAAGATGATGATCTTGGCCTGCAGGACATAGCCGACGGAGGAGAATTTGGGTGGGACTTTTCAGTCAATGCATGGAGAACTACACTATTTTACTGTGATATGGAATGGGAAAACGCTAGGGGATTCTAGTTTGATGCATAATCGTTTTCAAGTGATCACACAGATGCGAGGCTCAATATTCGTGGCTAATATCAACCGAAGGCATGTTATGGGTTGAATCGACATACTGGATTTTGGGAATTCATGTATGATTGGCCAAACTGAGATACACAATACCATGTAGGTAGATATAATACCTACCAATTCCGTTGAAATTAATTTGTAAATAAATGAGAGTCCTAATAATTAGACCTCTTAGATGCTAGATCAAACAAAGTTTCGGTACCATAGAAATAACCAATTAACTCAAAGGCCTCCATTGCTAGGTAAACATGCTAAAGATAGGCTTTTTGCATCTTCAGCACCACAAGCAGGAGTATATACATGTACTACCCTAAAACTTCTATCTACGTTTGAATCAAAGGAAATGATAATATCTAAATACGAGAAAGGTTTTTCCAAGAAAAGAAACAACTTGCTTATAGTTCTTCCTATTTAAGTATTCGAAGACAACGAAAGTCGTCATAATTAAATACACAATTCCAAGTGGCATTTTTCTTTCTTGTCTAACACTGGAATAGCTAATGACTGAATGGGATATTGATTTCTTCTCAGAGCTTCCATAGAATCGTTTGCTCGTATTTTTCTTTCCAGCATAAATGCTCTCATCTCTCTCAGCAATCAACTTTGCGTTGTACTAAGCTGTTATGGGCTTATGCATTTGAGCTACCAACAAACTGGTGTATGAGGGAAGATTAGTAGTCAATTTCAATGTGCATTCCAGCCAGCAAAATAAGATGGAACATTTGAATTTGATTTTCTTTTTTCAAATATAAATGATAGGAATTGACCAAGAGAACTAAAAGCTTTTCCACATTCAGTAATTAACAGAATTACAGAGTTTCACCCACAAATTCATGCATGCCTCCATTACAAAGTTTAAACAGATAAGGAAAAAGAATGCTAAAAAATGACTGACCAATCACATTTTAGAATTGAAGGCCACATTCTCTAGCTGCATCGGCAAGGGCTGCTACACGTCCATGATATGGGTATCCACCTCTGTCAAAGGCCACTTTATTTATCCCCTTCTCTAAACAAGATTTTGCAATGACTTCACCAACCTTCTTTGCTACTTCCTGATAAGGACGGAAACGGTAGAAAAGCTTAGCTTGCAATGAGTGAGGAGTAGTTGGCGAAAGGCAGCAACACAGAAATGAAGCGATTCAGGGAGGAATTGTAGGTAGGTGATCATAATTCAGTCTCCATCTCAAAGAACAAGTATTAAAAAGACTATGATAGAATAAAAGGGGAGTTGGCATGGCTAAAACCAAGTAGCTGTAATAGACATTGAAAAAGAAAACATCAAAGACAGTGAGGCTGTAGTGTTTGTAAACTTACAATGGTTGGACCAGAAGTGTTCTCAAATTCCTGAGAGAAGGACTTCTGCATGGTTGAAACGGAAGCGAGGGTGTGCATCTTTGTATCGTCAATCACTTGGACGTAGAGATGCTTGTTGGAACGGAAGACACACAATCTTGGCCTATCTGGGGTCCCTTCCACCTGAGACCAAGATTCCACATCAACTCAAGACCACCCAAGACAACAATCCATATTTAGAAACATAGCAGCATTAATTAATTAATTAGAAACAATGTGAATTGGAAAATTAAAAAAAAAAAAAAAAAAAAAAAAAACTAAAAGAATCAGGAAATTGTTGTTCAATCCTCCTCCTAAACTAGCATTTTATATAAATCAAAGGAAATTGCACCCCTTCTCAGGTGGGGTTATCTACAAGTCATTACATCACATAAATAAAAGAAAGGAAATACAGAGAGACCTTCTTTCTGATACGAATATGGCGAGCAGTCCTGTCTTCACGTCTAGTTTTGGCTTTGGCTTCAACTGTTTCAAAGCTTGGACTTAGCCTTGTCCTCTGCTTGGCTGCTGCCACCGATGCCCAGAGCTGCTGCTGCCCGCTTCCTAAGAACCCACTCCAAAGTGAACAAGTACCGCTGCTCCCCATTCTTCTTCTTCTTCGTCTTCGTCCTCTTTTTATCTTCTCACAATCTCTCTCTCTCTGCCTTTTTTTTTTTTTGTTGAAAAAAATATATATGCAACACGCCTTACCTTATCCTTCCTCCTGAAAACAAACACTCCTTTCTCTCTTTCAACGGAAGGCTTTTGGGCCTTCAATGGCCCATCTCTCAAAGTTTGCCTGTTTTATACCAGGCAGAGGTGTCATGACTGGGCTGTAGGCAGGCCAATCTGGATCCGGTACAAATTGGGCGGGCCTGGGCATTAGACTAGCACGCTGGCCCGTCCGGTGCAGCAACAACCATTTATTTTTTTGTTGTGTCGTCAATTATATATTTCTAACCTCCGATAACTGTACTATGAAATAACTCCACTTATTTTCACTACTGCATCTTTCTTGTTTCTTCAAAAGTTCAACCATTTCCTTATTCTTTCTCTTCATGATTTATATTTCTCATGTCATAAAAGAAGCCAGTGACAAGTCTTAAAGCCATGTAATGATAGAAAGCAATTGAAATCTTTCAACCCTCTCCAATTTCTTTGGTAAATTCCTAGCCTAAGAGAAAATTGATAATGGTTTTCTTTTGTCGCCAAATACTTTTCTGTTACCAAATATGCTTAACTTAACGGGGAAAAAAAAATTTTTTTTTTTTTTGGCAATCCTTTGAAGTGCTTGTTCTACCGGAGCAATTTTAAAGATCATACTAACAGATTTGGTTAGGTAATGTTTTGTGTATTTGAAATTGACAAATATGTTTTTTTTATATATATATACTTAATTTGGATAGGAAAAGATATTTGGATTATTATTAGTATTATTATTTTACTATTTTTACATGGACCCAAAAACCCATCATGGGACAGGCCACCAAAAATCCAGAGCTGACCTATACTTAGCCCATAAACAGGTCTCTAGATCCTAAAATGTTGTTTGAAAGCAAAGAATGAAATGGTATTTTTTTTTTCAAGGTTGATTAGTTATTTTAATATCAAAATAAAATCTGAAAATAGATTACCAAAAGCTTAGAAGATTAAAGCCCAAAGCATTCATGTTAGTTTAAAATTATCCACCACAATTTCACATTTAATTAATATTAAATTACAGTACATAAACTGAAACTTAAATACTAAAAGAAATTTAAAACTAGACATGAAATTAAATAAACCAAAAATAAATAGATAAATGAACTTTAAAAATTCTAAAAAATAAAAATAAAAATAAACCTAAGCTAGAAAAAAAAATGAAGCAAGCATAAAAATTTCAAGTTTAAATGAGTAAGGGAGACCAACTAAAATTATTATAATAAAAAAAACTAAAAGAAGTGCAAGTGATACTATTCATTTACTATAGCTCTAGATTCATTGTACCTATTCATATATTTTGTTTACATCTTGGTCCTCTGTTTTTTGAGGAATGAATTAATTAGTCCCTTTGCTTTTCTTTTTTCTTTTTTTAAAGGGCTGTTCGGGCTGGCCTCTTTTTTTTTTAAGGGCTAGCCTCCTCTTTTTTCCGGGCTGGCTTCCTTTTTGTCTTTTTTTTTTCTGGGTTGGGCTCTTGTTTTCTTTTTTGGGCTGGCACAAGTTAAAACCTTAAACGCATGTTTCACCTCCACTCAACCAAATCCCTGTGTGGCTAAGGTCACAATTTCGTGTCAAAAATGTTTAGTATAACAAGTCCCACAATCATGAAATTTTAATTGAAGGGCTAAAAAGAATGTTTTTTTAAGAGCTTTACAGGAAAAGAAAAAAAAAAATTCTACTTTACTTTGCAATTCTAGAAATTAGAGTAACAATAAGTCTTTCACTAAAGTTCAAGTGTCCAAGCTTGAGTCTATTAACAACACATTTGATCTTTAAATTATATATATATATATATATATATATATATATATATATATATATATATATATATATCTAAAAAAGGTGAGGTTACTCTTATTCATTCACTGTAGCTATAGAGTCAAAATCTCTATTTATGCATGTTTTTTTACATCTTTGTCCCTTATTCTTTGAGAGATAAATTAATTAGTCCATTTGGTTTGAAAACTAATTTTTTTTTGGTCATTTTCACCATTTTACTATTCTTATTTTTTCTTTCACCATTTTACTATTTTTATTTTTTCTTTTAAGGAATAGAAAAAAAAATTCTTTGGGAATAAATTAATTAGTCCCTTTGGTCCGAAACCTAATTTTTTGTTTTGTCTCTTTGGCCATTTCCGTTTACTGTAATGCTTTCTTTTTTTTTTTTTTTTAACGTCGTCCATTCTTTCAAATCTAATGATATGTATTAACTTCTTCACTTATGCATCATGCTCTATTCTCCAATGAATAGACTCTACAACCTTTATTGCCTTGAAGGTAATATAATTTGTTGACTAATTTATCCTCTTTCTCAACTATTAAAGTATTTATAAGACTATTATTATAGTTAATAATTATAATATATTATCATTATATTTTACAGAAAAATAGTAGTGTTTTTTTTTTTGTTAAATATATTATTTAGGTCCTTATTTATTAGAAATATATTTTTTTTAAATAATAAAATTATTTATAGTTAATAATTATAATACATTATCATTATATTTTACAAACAAATATCAAATAAATATTATAAAATAGTTATTTGTATTGTGACTGTGAATATTGTATTTATGCAGTGCTTTTTTGTTTTTTTTCTTTTTTCTTTAACGTCTAGCCTCATTTTTTTTTCAGTTTCTATATTTTTAGGACTATTATTATATGGTCAAATATATTATTTAGGTCCTTATTTATTAGAAAATTTTTTTAAAATAATAAAATTATTTATAGTTAATAATTATGATATATTATCATTATATTTTATAAAACATATCAAATAATTATTATAAAATAGTTATTTGTATTTTGATTGTGAATATTTTATTTATTGGTCAATATAATATTTTTCTATTATTTTATATTATGATATAAATAATATGTTGATACATTATTTTACGAATTTGAATATATATAAAAATTGATAAGTATTTTAGTAATATAATATATTTGATAATTATACCATATAATTAAATTAATATTACATTGTATTAGTTAAATATTATTTTAAATATATTGGTATAATAATATAATATTTATTAATAAATGATTTATTTAAATATTAGATGACAATTGTTCCCCTTCTATATAAATAATTTTTTTTATATTTTTTATCATGAAATTAGGTGTGAAAATATATATAAAAAAAAATCGTTATTTTTTTGATTTTACGTATAGTTTGACAAGTAATAGAGTATATATGATATTTTTTAAAATTTGAATTTGAACATATATATCTGATTATATTATTTTTATTATTTAAAATTTATTTCTTCAATTGTTTGTTTCTTATTAAAATTCTCATCAAATTAATTTTTAAATTTTATATGATTTTATTTGTTAATAAATTTGATTTTTTTATACATGGATTTTGAAATAAAATTTTAGAACTTGATTGTTTTATTTATTAAAAATATATTATTATAATTTATATGATTAATTATTTTTATGATTTTTTAATGAAAATTGACGTTGATGCATATATAAATTCGATGACAAAAAGAGCTAAAAGTGTATTTTAGATATTATAATTATTCTAAAAAAATAAAAGAACTTGGGGTTTTCACTATTCATTCACTCGTAGTGTTTTATTTATTTGTTTGTTTTTAGTGCTAGCCTAGAGAAGTGAGCTCCAACAAGTTGGCTCGACCCATTTTACTATAGGTTTTTTTTTTTTTTTTTTTTAAGGGCTGGCCTAGGGAAGCATTACCTTTTTTTTTTTTTTTTTTATAGGGCTAGCCTTGAGAAGCGAGCTCAAGCGAGCTCGCACAAGTAGTCCCAAATAATGCTTGCCTTCATTTTTTATTTTTATTTTTTTCTTCTAATAATTTATTTATATATTTTTTTATCATGAAATTAGGTGTGAAAATATAAAAAAGATCATTGTTTTTTTAGTTTTGCATATGTTTTATGGTAATAAAAAATATATAATATTTTTAAAAATTTTAGTTTAAACATATATATCTGATTATATTATTCTTATTGTTTAAAATTTATTTCTTTAATTGTTTGTTTCTTATTAAAATTTTTATCAAATTAATTTTTTAATTTTATATAATTTTATTTGTTAATAAATTTGATTTTTTTAATATATGGATTTTGAAATAAAATTTTAGAACTTGATTTTTTTATTTTTTAAAATATATTTATAATTTATATGATTGATTTTTTTTTTAAATGAGAGTAGAATAATTGCATATATAATTTATGATGAGGGAGAGAGGCTAAAAGTGTGTTTTATATAATTTTACTTAATTTTTTTTTAAAAAATAATTAGTTAAAAAATTAATTTGACTCAATTTTTTTAAAAAATTAATATATATACCAACCAAGTGCGACCTTGCTTTTTTTTTTTTTTCCTTCCTATAATTGTTTTATATTTCTAAAATTCTGGTCACTAATCTCATGATAAAACAAAAAAAAGTTGGCTAATTATTTTAGATCTTCATGTGTTTTAGGATTGGATCACCAAGAGACAAAAGAAAACCCTTAAAAGAATATATATATATATATTGTCATAGCATAACTGGATCTCCAGCAAGTGATATACGGAGTTAAGCGATCATGTATAATTGGTCCCTTTACATGGAAAGAAAACATACATATTATTAGTCCCTTTAATGTCCTTGAACCAATATTAGTTATATTTTTGACATTGATATTAACATACATATCCGATTATTTTATTCTTATTGTTTAAAACTTTTTCTTCAATTATTTGTTTCTTATTAAATTTCTCATAAAATTAATTTTTTAATTTTTTGATTTAATTTTATTTGTTAATAAATTTGGTTTTTTAATATATGAATTTTAGAATAAAATTTTAGAACTTCAATATTTTATTTTTAAAAAATATATTATTATAATTTATACAATAAATTATTTTTATATTTAAAATGAGTGATATATATA